TATGTACTCCAGAAAATTGGAATATATTTCCTCGTTTTGTCAGCAACGTACTTCAAAGCTAACACTGCGCAGGTCGGTGCACTGCACCGATGTCGGTGGCATACGATTATTTAAAGGGTCGGTGCGGAAGGGTTAATGTGATGTTCCATAATAAAAAGAAACCATTGCTGTTGTTCACCTGAAATCTGTAATTAAAAGATCGAGAGAAATTCCTTCTGCTAGTGACTGACAATCCGGTATAAACTGCACGATCATGTTCATCTTCACTGGATCAGCCGCTATAGAGAACTCACTGGGGGACATGGTATGGTTTCAGTTTGGGAGAAAATCTCAATTGGACCTCCGTAATTATCATAATCCTTTATAATATTAGGTCCTGTTGTCCTAGTGCACATATTACAAGACAAAATGTGTTCACCTTTTTGGTAGATATCTTCCTAAGTGCCTTCATCCTCCAGTCTGATGTGTTAAAATAAAATTCTTGAGAGGAGGGGGGGGGTCCTGTGAAATCCAATCTTTTGACTTGTTCATTCCAGTTTCTGTTGTGGTGTTGTATAACATCTGGTATTAGTGATGTCTGTTACTCTGCCATTGTTATTTCTTTTGTTGTTCAGAGGGATGTAACCTGCAGTCTCCTGAAATATATTTCAGTTGATTTTAATCCTCATTCAACAGTCCTTGTTAACTGCACTTCACTGCCATGTAATATTGAACTAGCTAAACTCAAGAAATTCCCTGGCTTTTGCAGAACCTGAAATTTCATTACCATATTGACAACCCAGTCCACACACTCATCCCATTTCTTCAAGATCCTGAGATCATATATAATTTGTTGGTGTAGGAAGTACATTATTAAATTCAAAATTAATTTATTTTAGGACTATAGCTAAATTTTTGTTTATGATACCTGATTTCTGATGTAACTGTTGCTACATTCAGATCTTTATAAATGCTCTTTCTTATGTAAAAATGTAAATTGTACTTATTTTAAATTAGTTCCACATCAGAAAATTAAATTTCCATACTTATTCATTTGTTTCAGAAGTCATGAAACAAATCCTTTTACATGTAAGATTTGAGGAGTTTGATTTGTTTCATTCTAGTCCGTCACAATAACAATTACAATTCTGTGTACTGTGTACTGTGTATTCTGTGTACTATGTATTGTAGCATATAAGTGTACGTACTTTACGTGTAAACAAATTATGTGATGGTGGTTTCCTATTTGTAGTGATGTTTGCCTTCTGAAGATGGTCCACAGAGACCGAAACATGTAAGGGTGTTAAGTTTTTATGTAGTAAAAAGCTTACAGGTCACATTGGACGGAGTTATTTATAATTGTAAGATTTGAGGTTTTCATGGTGGTGACTGTGAAGATTGGTCATCTTCTGGGATGTTGCACTGTGTAGATCTTATGTGAACCGACATTTCGGAGGAGCGTATCTCCATCTTCAGGGTAGAAAAATCCGCAAGCAAGGAACCAGCGTGAGCAGGTGGCTACAGACTGAGCCACCAGTCAAAAACATGCAACGGTATAAGAACAGGAAGGGAGGGAGAGTGGGCCACATGGGAAATCAGTAAAGAGGAGAGGAGAAGGGTCTGTGGAGATGGGCCAGCAGGCCAGAGCCAGTATAGGATCATTCTGGGGGGGAAAGAGGCAGGGCTACCAGGCGAGCATTGAACCAATAGCCTTGGGGCTAAGCTGCTGATCATGCCTTGTCCTGTGTAGCCTTGTAGATCTGGCATTGATGTTCCAGAGGTTCCTTGAGGGAGCATGACACCAGATCTACAAGGTTACACAGGTCAGTGCATGATCGGTAGCTTAGCCCCAAGGCTATTGGGTCAGTGCTTTCCCGATATCCCCCCCCCGACACAGCCCTATACTGGCTCTGGCCTGCTACCCGCTGATTCATATCCACAGACTCTTTCCCTCTCTTCTCTGTTGATTTCCCATGTGGCCCACTCTCCTGCCCTTCCTGTTCTTATATAGCCGCATGTTTTCGACTGGTGGCTCAAGCTGCAGCCACCTGCTCATGCTCGCTCCTTGCTTTCGGATTTTTCTACCCTGAAAATGGAGGCGATATGTTCCTCCGAAACGTCAGTTCACACAAAATCTACATGGTGCCACATCCCAGAAGACAGCATTCTTCAAATCCTTTTACGTATTATATGACTGTGATTTCTGTATGTGATGGCAGGTGGTGGATAGTGTTCTGAACGGAGAGAGTCGTTCTGGAGTGGCTATTGTGCGACCACCAGGGCATCATGCTGAGGAGGATGAACCATGTGGCTTCTGCATGTTCAACAATGTTTCATTGGCTGCAAAATATGCCATTCAGGTGCATGGACTGAAACGGTGAGCCATAAGCTAACAAGTAAATGTGTACACAGACTCTTGATTTTAAGAAACAAACTTGTACGTGTATAACTGAGCTGTAGACAAAATGAGTTAGTTACTTAATTTTACATTTATTTAACTTGAATCTTCTTTCAAATGATGTATGTAAGAAACGTTTTGCTTTAGGATTAGTAAGGTCGGAATTACTGTAGATTTTATTCAATATTTTTCTCAGTTTTGACCCATTGCATTCTTAATACTGGTTGTGGTGATTTAGAAAGAGCTTGTTTCCTTGTAGAATTCTACTGCTGGACTGGGATGTTCACCATGGTAATGGAAGTCAGCATATGTTTGAGTCAGATCCCAGAGTTCTGTACCTGTCAATACATCGCTATGACAACGGCAGCTTTTTCCCAGGCTCAAAGGATGCCAACTACAGTGTGGTGGGGACTGGGAAAGGGGAGGGTTATAATGTTAATATTCCCTGGAATAAGGTATGCTGATGTGTGTGGTTTAGTGCTGCATTCACTTAAAGGTTTGTGATGAACCGTCATGCAACTTTATATTAAAAAACCATCTTGTTTTTTGTCCCCAATCACGCACTGCATGTTTCAGCCATAAAACGGTCTTCGTCCCAAGGAAAATACAAAATAGTAAAAATGTCCACACTGTAAGGCAAAGATTAAAAATATATGTAAAATATATACAAATGTAAAGATGTTAAGTTGGATCCAACTTAATTTTTACATGAGTATATGTATTAACAGATAGTGCCTCTTACATTGTGAACGATTGTTTTGAAAATTTGTTGGATTAAGTTTCTAGTTCAGGCCTTATAGAGTTTGGGGCCCTTTATGCTCCTGTGGTGTAATTCTATTTCACTTCTACATGCACTGTTCCAGGTAGTTCAAGCCAAATTATAATTCCATGTTGTAGGTTAATTTAAAGTCAGAGTGGTCTTTCAGCATTTTGGTGAGTAGCCACGGGCATGTTAAGTGTAATATAATGTAAGCCTAGAGTAGGGACCAAAGTGATTGAGGAGGTGTAATATATTGTCTTGCGTATTAGTGTCTAAAGACATGTGTTTGGATCGGTGAGTCGATTTATTGGATATTCACTAATCGTAACTACAAATAATTATAACACTTTCAAGATTATCCTAATTAATTATAACACATAAATAAAGTGTTCTGTAATTCTTTATTTCAGCATCCGTCAATAATGCAACAATTGTTCTTTTTTATTCCTCCAGTTTCGCATTTAACACAAGTTTCGGCCATAGATGCCCATCTTCAGATGTCTTAATATATCAAAACTGCTACACTGATCTGATGTGTGCTAAATCCACGTGCCGTAGTCCACTTAAAAATAAAATAAAAATAATTAAATAAAATCCATTAAAATTTTCTGTTAAAATTTTTCAGTACTTTTGTAAATTCCTCTTCCACCTCATAAGGGCACTGTCCGCTTGTTTAGAGCCAGGTGTTTTATTTGAGCAGCTCGTTTTTGTGTTGGTTAGCCCGTTGTTTTGTTACATCTGCAATCTGTAATCTACAAAATGCCACGTGTTAATATTGTTTTGTGATTGTTGTTATTAATGTTATGTTGGTTTCCTTTATAGTCACATGCCCCTTGCTTGTGCATTGTTCCCTCTAGCAGTGTGTGGTGTTGTCTTCACTAGTGCAGATATGTGTTAACTTCTGTATTTTTATGCCCTGTTTGTGAAGAGTGGGGAGACGTGGAGGAGGGTGTAATGTTATTTTGTGTAAATTTTGTGTAATTCTTCAAATATAAGATTGTGTTAAATGATACAAACTCCGTCCTAAGTGCAAACAATATATATTATATGGCTTTGATCTTGTTCTTTCTACACTGCATGTTTCGGCCTCTATCGGCCATCATCAGGTGTATACTCTTAACATATAATATATATTGTTTGCACTTAGGACGGAGTTTGTATCATTTATCGTGTAGAGTGCAACAGGATGCTTAAATATAATATTATAAGATTGTGTGTTTTGATATTAGTGTCGTAAAAGAAAATCTACAGATGAATGACATTAATATTCATTTCAGTGCACTGTTTCTGCCACGTCACAGGAAACTAACTCACACTTCCATTTCTAGAGCGGCATGAGTGACGCAGAGTATCTGACAGCCTTCTACCAGGTGGTTCTGCCCAAAATATTCATTTCAGTGCACTGTTTCTCCCATGTCACATGAAACTAACTCACACTTCCATGTCTAGAGCGGCATGAGTGACGCAGAGTATCTGACAGCCTTCTACCAGGTGGTTCTGCCCATCTCCTACCAGTTCAGTCCTGAGCTTGTACTTGTGTCCTCTGGTTTCGATGCTTGTATTGGCGACCCACTTGGAGGTAAGCAGTTATGTTCAGTATTGCATCTTGCTAGTGTGTTATCATGGTTTGGTGACTAGACCACTAATTTTTGGTCGGTGTGCCACAGGAGTTTGGGGAAAGGTTGAAAAAAAGGTAAGAAAAACATGTAATAAAAAATAGTAGAGGTAAATTTTAGAAGTACTGTATATTTTTCATAAGAGGTCAATAATAATGAAAACAATAACAGTTTAATAAAAAGACCTTATTGTTGGAAAATTCCAAGGATTTCCATCCCTAATGTTCCCGATCCCAAAATAACTCCAGTGTACTTTTACTACCCCACCTTTAATCCTTGTCAAGCCACTAGTGTCAGTTTTCAGTCATCTGTTATTCAGATTGGGTGTGTTATTCCATGCGAGTTTGCACTAATGCAGTTTGTTTGTTATTCCTGTTTTGTTGTAATTATTTTGTTTTTTCTTAATTTAGTTGATTTATTTTTATTTTTAGGGCTTATATCGATATGGACAGATTCATAATAAAAGAACCTAAGTTAGATGATGACAATGAATCAAGTGTGGGTGGCACTAGTTCTGGTAGTATCATACTTTCTTTTATTGCTAGTGGGTGGGACTAAGTCCCTTGTACTGCAGCCATTTCTGGCCTATTGTACCAGCCCCAGATGATAGGTGAGGGTGATTGTGGAGCAATTCGTGGAATGAAGATTGGCAGGGGAAACCGAAGTACTAGGAGAAAACCTGCCCCAGTGCCACTTTGTCCACCACAACTTCCACATGACCGAACCCGGGCCGCAGCGGTGGGAAACCCGCGACTAACCGCTTGAGCTATGGCGTGGCCCTTGTATCATACATAGTACACTTTGTGTTAGTTCTAAAACTGTCATGCGCCAACATAATGAAGACTACTTGTCCTTCGCATTCATTTTATCTGATGAAGAACAGCCACGTTCTAAGTGTGTTGTTTATGGTGAGAAACTGGCAAATCAAGCTATGGTTCCAAGCAAACTGAAAAGACCCCTTCACACGAAGCATTCGCATTTATGCGAGAAACCAACTGAATATTTCAAAAGGCTTATAGCTTATTAAAGACACTAGGCTAAACAGCGGACCAAAATCACAACTATTTCTAACAGAGCTTAAGAAGTAAGCTATGCCATTGCTAAAATTGTGGCAGAAACAATTAAATCACATACACTGTTGTGTCTGTAATTTTACCAGCATGCGGTAAAATTGTAAATACTGTATTTGATGAGGAATATGAGAAAGATATTTTGAAAATCCCTATGTCAGATAACTCTGTTAGTCAGGACATACAAGACGTGTCACAAGTGTTAGCTAATATTAAAGAAGCTGATTTTTTTTTCCCCATCCACTTGGACAAGTCAACTGATATCACTGGAAAAGCTCAACTCCTAACATTCAGCAATTTTTATTTTGTGATGGAGACATCAGTGAACAATTTGTATTTTGCAAACTATTCCCAGAAACAACAAAATGCAAAGACATTGTTGATGTTATGACAATTATTTCAGTTCTCACGATTCGTCATGCAAATCTTGTGTCATCATTTGCACAGACGGTCTGGAAGCCTGGTAGGACTTGTCACACAGGGCAAACAAATGAACCCTGTAATTGTTCTACACACACTTTCTTGCACAAGGAGGCCTTTATTTCAGTATCAGTAATACCTGATGTCCAGAAGTATTGGATGTGACAATCAAGAAGGTTAATTAGATCAAGAGTTGGCCATTACAGTCGAGGGTGTTTTCAGCACTATTTTCTGCCATGGAAGCTGCTCACACACAACTCATACTGCTCACAGAAGTGAGGCTGCTATCTTGAGGGTGGCTGCTTTCAAGGTTCTCTGAACTGAGTGAAGAGCTTACAATTTTTTTCACTTTTGAAGATTCGGAGCTGGCTGACCTGCTTACTGACGAGACTTGGTATGATAAAGTTGCTCTCCTGGCTGCCATCTCCCAAGCCTTGAAAACTCTTAACAAGAGTATACAGGGAATGAATGAAAATATTCTTAGTTGTACTGACAGAAGAACAAAGTTTAAATGTTTGAGCTGATTGGACAAAAATATTGTCAATTTAATTCTACAAAGTTTGTTTATTTCTACTCATGTTTATATTGTCATGTGATAAGTGTGACTGTAGAGGGGATTTGGATGGATGACTTGATTTATTGGGCACTTTGATACAGCGTGTGACTACACTCTACAGTTCACTATTGCATAAATGCTAGTGTCCAGTCATATCTTCACTGCCATTGCTTGGTAGTGGTTTCCAGTGGCAGACATTCCCCTTCCTGTGGGTTCCTGAAGTGTCTCTGGCCTCAGCTATCAACTTCTAACAGCAGCAGCTCACAATGACTGAACCCTAGCAGTTCTGCTAATTGGTCCTGCTTGTAACATTTCGGCACAGACCATGTAGAAATTGTCGCTTCCATTGTTGCTGTAATCTCTTGTTGCCATGGAAACATGCTTGTTTGTGGAGCTGTTACATCACAGTGGCTGTTGTATAGTTGCTTGTATAGCGGTCATTGCCTAGAAGTGGGCATATGTGCCACAGTATTTGAGTAGAACAATCTTACCCTCTTTGTACTTATTGTAAATATAAAACATTAATTTGAATTAAAATTTTTCATCATAGAACAGACTACTTTATTCAAAACATAATTTTTTCATTGAGAGAAAGAGAGGATGTGTGACAGAAAAAGAGAGAGAAAGAGAGGGGACATTTTTTGAGGCCAATGGAATATGTCATAGATTTTTTTGTAAATAACATCTTTTCATTGATATCTCATTTCAGTATTTTGAATAAATACAAATATGAACATAAATTATAAAAATAAATCTTTTGAAATGCATGATGACCATTATTTCTAAAAATAATGCAGTGATTAGAATTTTCGCTATTGAACTTTTAAATACAATCTTAATACTCTTTTTAATGATAAAATCTATCCTTAATAAACTGATAGTGTCCCTTTGCAATTTTGGCACCTTCCTTAGTGTGCCATGAGATGAAAAAAGTTGAAACTCTGTTGATTAGACACAGGTTTTGGTTTGATAATTGAATTATTGGATACTTGCTGCTCTTAACTACAAATAATTAACAGCAGTTTTGTTATTCTTTGCAGTCTTCAGATAATTACAACACTTTTGAAGTTTTTCCAGTCATCTGCATCTTGATGCACTTGTTGCTTGGTAACAGCCTCTAATAACTGGGACTGTTCCTAATACTTTTGTGCTCTGTGGCTCGGGTCTGAGTCTCACTGCCTCTCTTTATACAACTTTTATGCGGACTAATTATGAGAAATTGCACCCAACAGTTCCTTTACTGCCATATGCGTATTCATTGCCGTAGGAACATGTCTTAAGATATTGCATAGCAGTGGATGCCTCTGTGATACTTCCATGACTCACCACTTCTGACATTTGGGCATCATGTTAGTATGTTAGGTAGCCATGATCAGTAGCTTAAGGATTTTATGTGTGAAGAGTGTTTTCAGTTACCACTGTAAAAACCTCCATTTCCGTAGTGGATTCACAAATCTGCTGTGGAGTTGGCATGAATATTGGGCCCTTCATTTCTTTTTTGAAAAAAATTTTCACTGAAAAACAATATTTTGTGTCATCTAAAATATTACAGTTCTGGTGTGGACCTGTAAATTTGTACTCCAAACACCTTGTCATGATGACTGTGGTGTGTCTAGCTGTTATTTTAAAAGTTTTGTCTTCCATGATTTTTGCTTGAATATGAATCACTATGTTTACCAGAATATCGTTTCTCCTGCTGTTTCTGCATAGCAATAGGGGTCTGCAAGAGAAAACTATCTCTAGTCAGTGAAGAGTTCTGCTTTGTGGGTTATAATGGTGTGTAGTCCAGTTAAAGTTAACTAATGTTTCAGAGGAACATAACAGAAACCAGCATCAAGAAGACAGCAAGCAAAGCTGCTTATTGCCTCCTTCATGCTGGTGTCTTGCTTGGCTTACTTTTCAACCCTGAAGGTCGGGTTTTCTTGTAAATGTTAGTTGACTTTAACTGGACTACACAACATATAACCCAGGAGAGATAACTCTTCATAGCCACTGCTGTGAGAACCTCAAATTAAACATGTTTATAATTGGCATCATGAAGTTAGGAGCTTTAAGGCAATGACAAACTCACAACATTGAAATGTTCACAGAGCTTAAACCATTTTAGGGGAATTGAACACTGTGTGATTTTGAAGTTGCTATAACATTTTCATTTGTTATGGGATCAGTGAGACATTTTGATTGTAATATTCTTGTTCCTTTGTTAATATAATAGAAGTTTTCTAATGCATTTGTTCTAACACTGGATTACAATGGTCCATATTGTGACATATAGACCCATTGCTAGGCAAGAACCTTGAAACAAACAACAAGACAACAGCATTGTAAACACTCCTCAACAACAATAAGAGTTACTGGCGGAAAGGGGATGTTTTCTACTCGGTCCATGTAAAGTGGCTATAAGGAAGACAACTGTGGCAACGCAGTTTAGTTGAGAGTTGAGTTCTGCACAGGAGACAGTGATGACAGGACCTGAGCACAGGATGCGGAAGACTCTCCTTGCTAGAGGATGGCTGTAGAAGACTTAGTGTGTAGTGATTTGTGAATTGTGGAGATTAGTGATAACACTGTTTCTAAATGATGTGTGTAAGTGGTCAGTAAATCCATTCACCACTCCATACCCCATCTATAGTCACACTAAAGCATGACAATATGTATGTGTAGAGATGGCACAAGCTTACAGATGTTTGATTTATAATATTTTGTGCTTCATTTTGTGGCATATTGCTAGGCAGTGACCACGAGAGAAGCGCCTATACAATAGTCATTGCTAAGTAACAGTTTCATAGACAAGCATGTTTCCACAGCAGTAGTGGAACAGTGTTTTCTATGCATTCTGTTCCAAGATGTTATAAGCAGGGTAGTTAGTGAGAGACAATTGAGTTGAGTTAGGCCGGATTCACACATAGCGTGCTGTGCACCGACCGTGCACCGGCCGTGCGCAGACTGTGCTCTGCTGCCACCATTCACACATAGTGGACTGGTCGCCGACTGTGCTGTAGCTGGTTTTTATTTTGCATTCGTAGAGATGGATCAGAACGAAGAAGATGTGATTGCTGCATGCGGAGCATACCTTGTGTTGCAAGAAGAAAAGAACAGAAAGAAAAGAAAATATTGGGTTCATCAGTTATGGAGAGCAAGAGACGAAGAAGGAGAATTTCATACGATATATTCTCGCCTTAAGGATGATCAGGATAAATTCTTCACGTATTTTCGTATGAGCGTACGAAAATTTGAAAATCTGTTAAAAATACTGGGACCAGAATTGACAAAACAGAATTCTAAATGGAGGCAATCTGTTTCATTGGAAGAAAGGTTAGCTTTAACAATGAAATACTTGGGTTCAGGAGACTCGCAAATTTCTCTGAGTTTTAGCTATAGACTGGCTCCTTCAACTGTAAATTCTATTATATTTCCAACTTGTAAAGCTATATGGGAAACAATGGCCAAGAAAGAAATGCCAGAACCAACTGGAGAAATGTGGCGAAAAATAGCGGATGACTTTTATTCAATGCGGCAGTTCCCCAACTGCATAGGCGAAATTGACGGGAAGCACTTTGAAATACAAGCTCCTAAAAATAGCCGATCCCTCTACTTTAACTGTAAAAAAACCTTTTCAGTTGTCCTTTTGGCACTCGTAGATGCGAACTACAAGTTTGTGGTTGTTGACATTGGAAGGTATGGCAAGTCAAGTGATGGTGGAATTTTTTCAAATTCAGTTTTTGGGAAACGTTTAGAAGAGAGCCGCTTGAACATTCCAGAGCCAAGACCTGTACCGAATTCCACAGAAACTTATCCTTTCGTTATTGTTGGAGACGAACCATTCCCTTTAAAACGAAATTTACTACGGCCATACCCAGGAAGCGCAGCACGTTACGATGAAGGAAAACAAATATACAATTACAGGCTCTCTAGAGCACGTCGTGTAGTCGAAAATGCATTTGGCATTATGACTCAGAAATTCAGAATATTTTTCGGAAGAATGCATGTCAAACCTGAAAATGCAGACACAATTATTAAGGCTGCATGTGTCTTACATAATTACTTGAGGGATGAAGGGTCTGTTACAGAAGGCGAATCTGAACATGAAAGCCAAAATCGTACGCCAAGCATGCCGTCCTTACGTCACATGTGCGGACATTACAGCCAGGAAGCTCTCTCGCACTGAACTGACCAAATGCTTCGCTCCGCTTCGGCACAAAGATGTGCTGTAACGAAATCTGCCGAATAGCGCCGGGCGACCAGTGGGCGCCCTTTCGTTATTCACACATACAGGGCTGTGCGCCAGCTGTGTCGAGCCGTGACCTTGATGAATCGCTTTTGAAGCGGTCGGAGACGACACAGTCGGGGCACAGTCGTCGCCCAGTCCAGCATGTCTGAATTACATAAACCTATGCAGTGCATTTCAAATGCAGACTGCCGTTTAGCAATTCCATTCAAAATGACACAGTCGGTGCACAGCTCGCTATGTGTGAATTAACCCTTACTTAGTCAGAGAACTGCCGAAGTTCAGTCACTGTGAGCTGTTGCTGTGAGGAACTGGTAGCTGAGGCAGGAGATAGTTTGGGAACCCAGGGGAAAGGAACATCTGACATTGGAAACCACTGCCAAGGAATAGAAAGTGAAGACATGGCTGTAGACACTAAAGAGAGAGAGTGTGTGCGTGCATGTCTAATATAGAGTATTGTAAAGTGTAGTCCTGCACTATCAAAGAGTCCAATATATCCAGTCATCAATCCAAACCTTGTCTATAGTCAATAAATCATGTGACAATATACTGGACACAGATATCTCTCCTGTAACTCTCCTGAAACAGCTTGTAGCAGTGGCCATTACATGAAATTTTACATGTCTCTGATTTCAGGCTGCAAAGTGAGTCCAGAAGCATATGGTCATTTGACCCACCTGTTGACTGCACTAGCAGGGGGCCGTGTGATCCTCTCTTTGGAAGGGGGCTACAATGTCACTTCTATCTCTCATGCTATGCCCATGTGCACTAAGGCTCTGCTGGGAGATCCCCTGCCCTCTCTAGCACCTCATCATGTAGCTTGTCCCAGTGCAGTCACATCCATTAAGAATGTAATTAGAACACAAGCCAGGTACTGGTCAGCAGTGTGTTTTCAGGTGGCACTCCCTCAAGAGAGAGTTGTTCACACAGAGCCACTGGAAGATAAGCTGCAGGTAGTACTGAATGTGAGTGGTGGACATCAAGGAGAAAATGATGAGGGAGCACTAATCACGCTCCATCACAAGGAAGAAACTGACAGAGACATAAAAGTTCCTCCTTCTGCAGAACAGAATTTTGAAGTCATGTCAGCTGATTTGTGGCACACATTAAATGAATCTCTTAGTAAATTCAGTTTAGATGAAGGTCAGGTGGATCCTATTTGTTCGGACAGAAACACTAGTCCCATGGTACCCTCCAGTGACTCCAGCCCTGTAAGTTCATCCATTGATATTGAGAGTCAGATGTGGCCCAAGTCAAGTTCTAGTAATTTCAAGGAATTATCTGCTGTTGATGTGCCTTTTGATGAGACTGAGGAATCATCGGTTTTCACATTACCACACACTTGTAGCATATCCTTCTCAGATGAGGGATACAGGTCAGAAGAGCAGTATGATGTTACAACATTCCATGAAGGGACTGTGGTCCCATTGACTGTCATAACAGAACATGACGGAATGAGCGCTGCAGATAGTGATGGCAAGAGCAGCAGTGATCGTATAGGTGAAGGTCAGCAGGGGCAAAGTGGGAGCACAAGTGAAGATACAAATGAGACCTCCAGTCAGATCCCACACGAACAGACATTAGTCAACTACCTTTCTGAAAACATGCAGGTATGTTTCATTTTTCTTAATTCTATCTGGAGCACACTGAAATTTTTGTTATTTTAAATAAGCCAGAAATGTTGCTTATGCTACCATATTCTTTGAGCAGTTGACAGTTATTCAGCTGCTATGGAACATGAAAGTTTGTTACTGTTGTAAAAAAATGCCCATGATGCACAGTAACATTTTTCCCAGGCCTCACCATAGCTCAAGCAGTTAGTCACTGGCTTCCCACTGCGGCGGCCCGGGTTCAATCCCGGGTCTGGTCAAATGGGATTTGTGGTGGACAAAGTGGCACTGGGGCAGGTTTTCTCCGAGTACTTCGGTTTCCCCTGACAATCTTCATTCCACCAGTTGCTCCACAATCACCCTCACCTATCATCTGGGGCTGGTACAATAGGCCAGAAGTGGCCGCAGTACAAGGGACTTAGTCCCACCACACTAGCAATAAAAAAACATTTCTCCGATCTTTTTCATGCTGTCAGGCAATAGCAGTCGTTGTGTCAATATTCCCGGACAGAGCCTAACCATCTGTATGTTGGATACAGATGCTGCTAGCAGGAGAGATGTTTGCTGTGGTACCACTGCGCAGCTGTCCACATCTTGTTCAAGTTCAGCCCGTTCCAGAGTGTGGAATAGACTGTAATAGTTCATGTGCCGAATGTGGCTCTGTGCAGGAAAACTGGGTGTGCTTAGTGTGTTACACAGTGAGTATGCAGACACTACTACCATGCTACTCCCATGGAATTACTTTACTCGTGAAATGTCAACTTGGCTGAAGGGGCAGCATGTCAACGAAATCACAATGTCTGCAGGTTCACTGTGGTCGCTACATCAGTGAGCACATGATGCTGCATGGCCACGGTATGTCACACCCACTGACCCTAAGCTTTTCTGACCTCTCAGTCTGGTGCTATGCCTGTGAAGCATACATCGATAACCAGGTGAGTTGTATTTTGTTAGAATTAGCACATAATGAAGAACCATGTCTCTGAAAGTATTGGACACATTTTGATGAAATTAATATTGGGTGGTTTGCACTGAAAGTTAGGTCCATGTAAATCCAGTATAGCCGGTCACGGTAGCCAAGCGGTCTTTGCTCGCTCGGAAGCCGGGATTGTGGGTTCGAATCCCACTCGGCATGGATGTTTGTGTGCGTTTTTCTATGTTTGTCTACGGGTAGAGGCCTTGCGACGAGCTGATCACTCGCCCAAGGAGTCCTACCATATGTGTAAGATCTAGTAAACCGAAGTGAAACTTTTATTTAACATACTTTGTATTTATTGTATTTACTCGCATGATTTAGTGCGCTGGGATAGCGCAGTCAATATGGCAACTAGCTACGGGCTCGATAACCAAGGGATCAGAGTTTGAATCCCTGTAGGGTCAACAATTTTCTTTTCTCCATGTTGTCCAGTCTGGCTCTGGGGTCCACCCAACCTCCTATCCAATGGGTACCAGGGGCTCTTTTCCCAGTGGTAAAGCAGCCGGGGTGTGAAGCTGACCACTCACCTCCAGCTAGTACCAAGGTCAAGAAAATGTGGATCTACAAGGGTAAGTCAGAAATTATCCGCACTTTCTCCGTAACACATCTTTAGGTTTGTCACACTGCCTCCTACACATGCATTGTTAGAGTTGTTACTACTGTGGTCACATGATCGAAGTTTTACCTTGATCGCATCATTTTCCTTGATGCCGTGACAGTGTAAACATGGCCGCTCTGCTAGCAGTGTGCACCAATGATTAACAAAGAATAGTGATCCAATTTCTCTAATTGGAAGGTGTGTCAGGGGCTGAAATTCATATGTGGGTTCATCACTATGAGCCAGAATCCAAAAGCCAGCGTATGGCGTGGAAACACCTGGGATCGCAAACGGAGATGAAATTCAAGACTCAATCTTTCGTGGGAAAGGTGATGCTAACCGTTTTTTGGGACTCAAAAAGGCCTATACTGGAAGACTACCTGGAAAAAGGGTGTACGCTCAACAGTGCAAGATACAGTGATTTGCTGGCCAACAATCTGAAGCCAGCAATTCGCACCAAACGCCAAGGCCTATTGTCGAAGAAAGTGTTGTTGTTGCATGACAATAAAAACACACACAAGGACGGCCAGACCATTGAAACCATTAACCATGTGTGTTTCGAGGTGCTGGAACACCCTGCCTACAGCCCAGATCTCGCCCTTTCCGACTGTCATCTCTTTGGACCGCTCAAAGATGTTTTACGAGGTTTTTGATTTTCTGCCGACAAAGAAGTGGGGGAAGCGGTGCATAAATGGTTGCGCGACCAACCGAAAACCTTCTTCGTGGAGGGAATACGCAAGCTTTTGGACTGCTGGACCAAGTGCATGGAAAAGGGAGGAGACTATGTAGAAAAATGAAGGACTTGTTCAACCCCTACTTTTGTATATATGGATTGGAAAAACAAGAGTGCGGATAATTTTTGACTTCCCTACGTACATGTATACATCCACTCCCCCATACATCTTCATGGCATAGTGTTTAATTAGTTAAGCACAGGGACAACTTTACCCTACCTTATCTTTTTGCTTGGGGCATGCCATAGGGTAGTTGGTTGAGGCACTATGCTACAAGCCAAAAGGTCACAGGTTTGATTCCCAATGAGGTCATTGAATTTTTTCAATTTACCTAATCTTTCTAGCTGCATTATGGCCCTGGGGTCAACTCAGCCTGTAACAGAAATGAGTACCAGGAAGATCCCTGGGGGGGGGGGGGGNGGGGGGGGGGGGTTGTAAAGGTCAGTGGGTACATAAGGCTGAAAACCTTACTGTCATCTGTGAACCGATGTGGAGCCTCAACCTCTCTCACCCATGTGGGCCTTCACAGCCTGTTACAGGGACAGCTTAACCTTATTTTCTTTTTACCTTCTTTACTCTATTGATTTACTGTCCCTGCTTTTAGGCAAGAAATTTTTGGGGAAAAAAAAATTAAGTACCATATTGCTACACCTGACTTTTAGCCACAAAATTTGGGTTAAATAGATATGAATTTACCAAATTAGTGGTGTGAAATGTGTTGCTGCAGTGCCTTCACATACTGCCTGACCCTTGATTTGTAGATTATCATTTTGAACAGACAAGTGTCAAGGCTTCCAGAGTAATGCCCATGCAAAGAACATATTCGCGGCAACCTATTGATGTCTGTGGGCAGGTAGCTCGATGTAATTAGTTCAGGTGGAAGGGAGAGGCTAAGCAGCATGCATTGTGGAAGAACTCACATTCCCTCTTGTCGATTAACTTTTTGCGGCTGGCATAGACATTATAGGTGTTATCAGTAGACGGGACTACTGATTGACAGTTGAAATAAGTAATTGATTCTGAGTCACCTTTACATCTTACATTTGGCTGACAACTTGGTAGCTCCAAACATAGGTTGTCAACTACTGCAATTTGAAGATTGCTGTCTTTTAGAATGTTGTGCCATGTAATCTGGCAATTGTAGTATATGTTTAATGAAATGCAAGGAAAATTAATTTGTACTTCCATGCAGTGCAATATCTGTACTGTTCATTTGCTGTCAGCAGTCAGTGTAAACTGCAGTAGACAAATGTCAAGATCATTGAAGATTCCAGAATCATAGAAAATATACTTGGAACCACTATGCCTTGAACACAGAACATCATTCAGTTCATCTTAATTTATTTAATTCAATATCATGACTTGGTTCTTACATATAAATCCATATGAATATATTATTAGTCTATTATTTTTTGTCAATTTAATCTGTATCTTATAAATACTCTGTGTATGGCAGATTCTGTATGCAGCTAAGAATGCTCTTCACAGAAAGAAATTTGGAGAAGATATGCCTTGGTCATATGGCGATGCAGATCCTACATTTCCAGTGTGACTGAAGATGGAAGAATTTTCAAACATGTACAATAATGACTTGCCACCAGTAATACTGCTTGCCGTTTTCACAATTTTACCTTTAAGAGAAATATAATTTTTAACTTACAAGCTGCAGAATCAATGTTACGTCCCAGTACAGAATATGATATATTATTTCACCACTGAATGTCTCACAGGACCTATAGCCTGTCAAATAGTGGTTTATTTTTTAAATCAGAATCTCTTAATACTACTCATCAGATAATAATTCAAAATGTAGACATAAGTTTCTCTTCAATTTCTGTATTAATCAGTCTTTTTAATCTGAGATAAAGGGTTTTCATCCCATTTAAATTATGGTGCATTCCTTTGATCAAGATGAGTTTCAAGTGTGAAATCATAAAGTTGGCTGGACTCCACATTAGACCATTTAAAATAAAACAGCATTTTATTCTTAACAGAAAATGTTTTCTTTTTATGGCTGGGAGGAACTGGACCATACAAGTATTTGCATACTTGAGTGGGATTTGCTGTCTGTTTAAAACATCTGTGCGGGTATGGAAGATGAGTCATGTGTGTTCAGTGAGATCTGTAAAGTGGTTTTGGTTTTCATCATATGTTGAAAATACAATCTAGTGAATTGCTAATGATGGTGCATTGATCTGTGTCACTTTCTTTTGACACAACCTCAGAGATGTTTTAAACACTTTAGTTCCATGGTAGACTTCCTCAAGCAATTGACAATTATTCACTTACCAAAGAAATTTTTTCTTATTCACTTGAAGGTTCATCACTGTAATCACAAGAGCCCATCATTGTTCTTTAACCTGAGTCAAGTCACATCTTCAAAATCTATTTGTCTGATACTCATTTTCATATTGTGTTATCTGTGGGTAACAACAACCTTATGTTGTCACTTCCCAAAATTGTATACATATTCATTTATGCTTGCATGTTGTGCAAGTCTCATCCTTCTTCACTTAAACAATATGAGATGAATACTGGTACTACAAATTTTAAACGTTTTTCTGTGTATTTCCTTCTGTTCCATTCTTAGCTTGTGGAATATGAGGCTTATTCCATATTTGTCTTTAATACACTGTTCTGACATGAAGCTTATCAATTAACTGACTCTCTTGACAGTAGAGCACAAAGATTCAGTTTTGTTCTTATCAGAGTCCACCACTGAACACAGTCCTGAATTAGTTGACATTCTTGGAAATTTTGTCCATATTTTTAATCTCCTTAGTTTTCCCAAAAGCCCCCTGGCAGAATTTTCTGTTTTAACTACATGTTCAGTATGTTGTAACTATGATTTAACTGTCCTAACAGTCCTGCATAAGATGACAGAATTTGTCACTGTATAATCTCCCCCATTCCCATGTCATTTTTCACAGGTCAGCAATAATTATAACTGAGCATTTTACTTTCAGACAGCTGTAATATGTGTTCTTTCCAAGTAAGCAACCACATTTTACAACCATATAAAACACCAGGAAAATAGATATTTTATACATAGTTGGTTCAAATTTGACTCACAATTTTAAATGTCACTTATAAACCGTGGATTGCCATTTTTGCAGTAATATCATATGCCCCTTTCTCACATGTTAAGAATACTGCAAGATGGCCTCTGTAGAAGTTACTACTAGGGAGGTGGACCTGCTATGTATAACCATGTTTTTCATAAAAGAAGGCTCATAACTGGCTGATAATCACTGAAGACTTAACCCGTTGTCGTGGTTCGACGTGTATGTTTCGTCAGGGATTTAAATCGTCTGGGGGGGTTCGACGTGTATGTTTCGTCCAGCTGCACACCTATGTTATAACGCCCATAATAATTGATGGTTTTGCTGTAGATTGTTAGATTTTTCGCTGGCCTGTTGTCAGTAGAACAGAGTATAAATAAGACACGACTTTATCTGCGCCAAGTCATCGTTACATATGCCTGTCTTGCAGCAAAGTTCCTGT